GTGGTCATCTCGACCTCGAGATATGCATATATGAATAAGTAAAATTTAAAGTTTTGAAAAACGGTACCTTGTAACAAGTTATTTGGACCTTCTAGTGTTTATAAATATACTCAAAGTGTACTATTTTAAAAAATTTAAATTCCATAACTAGGTAAAAAATATATTTTAAGGTCATTTTAAGATTTCTGACACTCGAACTACCTCTCTAATAAAATTTTAAACATGCACCTTATTTTACAAATAAGGAGGACGCCTTATACAAACGTTACCCTTTACATAAGGGAGCAGTTTGTATGGAGCCTAGGTTCTAAACAATCAAATTAGAGCCTACCTTCAAATAATATCTAGAAATGTAGTTTCAATATTGGAAATCTTTGTGATAGCTTTAAAATATGTTTTTATCTTTATTTATAAAGTTTAAAGGTTTAAAAATAGTGTAGACCGATCGTTCTATGAAAACTTAAAAATTTTGAAAATTGACGGTCCAAATATGCATTACAAAATACATTATTTTCAAATCTTGAAATCTAGTTTTTTGCTCATGTCCATGCATGTTGATGTCGAAATGGTCAATTTGAAGATATTTAAGCATCAAAACAACCTCTTCTAGTGGAATCTTTTAGATAGGCTCTAATTTGATTGTTTAGAGCCTCGACTCTATATAAACTTTTCCCTTTACATAATGGGACCAAGATGTTTGTGACATTGCAAAAACTTTTCCCTTTACAGAATAGGACTGAGGTGTTTGGGACATTACGTAAGGAAGTTTTTTTTTTTTGGTAGTTCAGAGGGGATAACAACCCCCTCCCGTTTTTTAAATCGTTAGTGATTCTTGAATGTACTGGGTAAGAATGAAAGCCTAGACTTTAGCTAGGGCACAAATGATGCTACCACCTCAACCCCAACCCCATGCTCGATTGCGTAAGAAAGTACAATCTCAATGTGTACAATCTTTTTTATCAACTAAATAAAAGATTCCCAATAAAGTCCAATAAATTGTATGTGTACTTGCGTAGAAATAGACCGTTAGAAAGAACTTGAAATAACACAAATGGAAGAGTAAATTCACCTATGAAATAAGGCGCACCTCTAAATTTTGTTGGAAGATGTAGTTTTTCAATTGGTAACTTTATCATGGTTTAAAAATCCATATTGAAACTTAATTCTGAAAGTTAAAATTTCAAAACAATCATGATATCCAGTTACACAGCATGTAAAATGATTATATAGAGTCGAGGCTCTAAACAATCAAATTAGAGCCCACCTCAAAATTTTCACTAGAAGAAGTTGTTTTGATGTCTTAATATCCTCAAATTGATCATCTTGACACAAAAAATGCATGGACATGAGGAAAAAAAATGGATATCAAGTTTTGGAAATAATGCATTTTTTAACTGTCAATTTTCAACATTTTCCAGTTTTTATAGATCTACTTGATTTACACTATTCTTAAAACTTTAAAATTTATAATGAAAGATGAAAAAATATATTTTAAAGCTACCACAAAGATTTCCAATATTGAAGCTACATTTATCTGACACTATTTAAAAGTGCGATGTACTTTAGTTGTTTGGAGCCTTGATTCTATATAAACCACACCCTTTTTAACGTTAGTTTTTTTTACTGATTTTCATATATCCCGAAGTAGTCCGATAATCATTGGAAGGTTTACCTCCATATTCAAAACACTATTTTCTATTGGATTTGTGAGGTACACTTTACTCCCATAATTGATTGATGTCCATTCGAAACAATCTTTACTACTGCTGAATTATTGAAGTGCACTTTACTTCTCTAGTTGCAGTCTTATATAAACTTCTTACTTTATTAAATAAAGGGGCTCAACGAATGTGTATAGGATTGAGCGAGCATGGAGGCTTTGACACAACGCATATTATTTTCCTATAAAAAAACACCCATTTGTCCAGCTGTAACGTTGCTTTACCAAACCAAGGGTCGCTTTTGCCCAAAGCGGCCACGTCACGCTGCTTTCCCCTTCAACTTTGTTTCCTTGCTAAAAAAGCAAGCCAATGAAGAAAGAGGGGCCCAAAAAAGAAGTAATTAAAATAAACCAGCTTCATAAACACCTAATAACTAACTCTGATCACTGCCACGTGGATAAAAGTGAATCCCGCCTTTGCCTCGGATTCTCTGCCAAACAACAATGTCCCGCTTCTCAATAGAGAATGGGTGGGCCCGCCAGTAACATGCCACCAATTTCCACCACGGAAACAAATTATTTTCATCAATATAAAATGCCAAAAAGATCCACCTACTATATAACGGGCCCAGTGATTAGAGAGTAAAAACCGGAAAACAAATAACAGCGCCAAAAAACAAGACCGAGAATGAATGAATGAATGAATGGTAGGGGCGAGGGGGAGGGGGTTAGGTCACAAGTCCGCTGCCATCAACAAACGCCATGGAATGTCTCCCCCCACCACAAGGGAGGAAGAACATGTGAAAAAGAAGAGCCTGTTACTGTTACAGTTCATCAAAATGCCAAACCAGTCCCAAAATTTTTATGGCCTAACTTCATATTAGTCCCGTGTTCTAACCAACATTTTAAAAGTCAGATCTGCACTTCCACACATCGACTGTTGGATTGGCAATTCAAATTACTTGAATTTAATGCCACAGAAAAATATATAAAATAAAAATTAAATAAATAAAAAATAAAAAACTTCAAAAATAAAAAAAAATTATAAAAAGAAGATTTAATAAGGAACCAGAGTGGGAACCAAACAACCAGTTCGGTCCCAACCGGTAACCAACCAGATTGAAATTACCATGTAATAAAATGCTAATTATTACGGTTAAGAGAGCATTAAAGCTTAAACAATTAAACTTTCCAAATAATCTAAATATCTGGATCCTACAAGATGTACTTCTTGCATTAGAAAAACAATGACCTGATAGGAAAGGGGTCGGTTTGTGGGGATGCTGGTAGCATCCCCACACCCAGTTATCACTTTTTAACGCTGAGTTAACACCTCCAAAATATACCTACCCAATCTATTGAAAAACGAAAAAATTTATATAAGGATGCTACCTTCTAATGTAGATCTACAGATGCCCCAATAAAATCTATCAGAAAAAGTAGTTTCATCGCTCAAACACCCTTTGATTGATCATCTCGACATCGAAATTTACAAATATGAAAAAAAAAAAAAATTTCAAGTACAAAAAATAATGCATTTTACAGCATATTATCTACACCCTCCCATTCTCAAGATTTTCATTTGTTTATAGATCTACTTGAAATTTAACCATTTTTTAAATTTTAAAATTAGATACAAAAATAAATTTTGAGATAATCCTAAAAACATTTTACATCAAAATTATATACAATGATAAAATTTGAAAGTGCAACTTACCTCTACGCCTACAGATGCATCGGTATGCAAACTGTACCCAATGAAAAATGGGTAGAGGCCCACTGAATTACCCAAAAACAATCAAACCTGACAATCAATTTTAGTTCTTAATTATAATAGACACGGTTTCCATATGGCGACCCTGCATATTGTAGAAATGCGCCACTGGCACTATCATAATTTTTTTTTAAAATATAATCTTTAACTTGGGATCATGAATATGAGAAAAAAAAAAAAAAATTTTGAAAACTGAAAATAATAATTACAGTAAAAAAACACTTGAACCATTAGTTACACTTTTATTTTAGATGAACCCCCTATTTACATCTATTTTAAGATAGAAGTTTTATACATACCGCATAGTGTAGAGCATCTATTTAAAGATAGAAGTTTTATACATACCGCATAGTGTAGAGCATCTATTTTAAGATAGAAGTTTTATACATACCGAAATGTGATCCAGCCCGCATGAAACAATTTTCCTTATAAAATTATCCACAAATTTCCTTATAAAATTATCCACCAAGTATGCTCTCAGACGGTCGAAAGCTTTGTCCGGTGACTTTTTCAAGTTGTCTGGCTTTTATGTAAACTTTTCCTCTGATTGGATACCAAGCAAAAAATATGCTTAAATCTAAGTACCAAATGTGAAGTTTATAATATTTCACGGTAGAAAGATATTATTCTCCAGTTTATTTCTCTTGTCCAGAGCACTAAAGTAGCGTACTGCATGTGCCGGAGGAGACGATGATTGAAATTGAGAAAGAAAAGAAGTTCCATAACCTAATGTCTTCTTTGTGGAGAGATGCTTTATGTGTGTCTCAAAATAAAAGAGCATTTCTCTAGATAGAGAAAGTAGTTATCCCGAGAATATTATTTTGGGCGATAAACTCGCGAAAATATTTCACTTCTTCATCTATGAGAAAAGCATTGAGGTAGGATTCAAAAAACCTGAAAGGCATTGTTCATAAAGTTTTCCAATATTTACAAGGAAAATGGTTTACACGGACTGCAGCCCCATCAAAATAAATCCTCACTTTATAATTCATCAAAATTTGGAAATCATCAAAATAAATCCTCACTTTATAACTCATCCAAAATTGGAAGTCAAGAATTGAAAAACCTTTGCATCACTCATCTCAACTTGAACATTATGGTCATGAAAAAACTATTAGGATTACAAAAGAAAGCTTTTCAAACTTGCGTAGCATCCAAACTATCAAATTTCACATCGAACTAATTCTAACCTCCTTATATGATGAGGTAAATGGTCTCCTTAGTATAAAAACCTCATCCTCGGCAAAAACTGCCCCCCAAGAACTAGAATGCAATCGCAAATTAAGCGCTTCTTCCTACACGTGTCAACATTTTTCTCACTACGTGGAGGGTTTTTCTTCAAAAGGAGAAATCGAAAAGCGGCATTCATCAAATGTTTGTTCTCTGTTCTGAAAATACAGTAGGAGTTTCCAATTTTTTGTCTTTCTTTTCCCCTCCTTTCCTATAATTGAATGTATTTTATTCCTATTCTAAATATTCCAATTCATTGTTTCCAAATAAAATAAAATATCGATTTCTTTCTTCTTTTCTTCTTTTTTTTTTTTTTCTGACGATTCTGATTCATTGTTCACAAAACAAATTGAATGTCGATTTATTTCCTGGAGGTAAGAACAATAAAAATACAACACAAATCGCTCCGGAGTAACAAAAAGTAGGGAATAAAGACGAAAATCGAGAAAGCGAATTAAAAAGAAAATAAGAGAGAATCGAAGTCTAAAAAGAGAGACGAGAGAAAACCCCCAAAATACCCCAAAGTAAGAGGGAAAAAAAAAAGAATATTGATGGCCTACCGGTTGAGAGAAGCAAAGAATTGGGGGTGCCGGTGAGCTGGCGCAAAAGGCCCAATTAGGCTCGACTAGGCTCGCGGCAAACAGCCGTCAAGGCCGAAGTGGGCTCGTAGCACTGAGCCCAAGTGGGCTCAAGCTGAGGCGGCCGAGTAATACAAGTCATAAGGCGCCCATAACGAGTCGAGCGGACATGGCTGAGCCGAGTCAAGTCTTAACCATGGCTTCCCGCTCCCGCTCCAATGGAGCAAGCTCACAGGTCCAACATGTAAATCTCTGCAACTTCCATTGACATTGTCACCGCCAAGACCATGTTGATTCCATCTATGCTCTATGGCCTTAACTTTCCCAGCAAAAACCAATAAAAATGGCGGCAGAGACCCGAGCTCGTAGATCCTAAATCTCCTCTGAATCTCCATCCAATCTTCAATCTTCTTCGTGTAATCAAACCTTCTCCATTTCTGCAAATCCACGACCATAACCCCTGTGTTGAAGTAACAGGGTTTCCGGCCACGGAACACCCTGGAAAACCGTTTTTCCGTCCAAAATCCGGCTGTGAAATATTTGGAAAAATTGGCATGGCAATATTCAGGCGCTCCAACTGTGCTATACCCTAGATCAGTGGCCCAAAGCTTGGAAATGTCATCGACAAGAACCAGGTCCGAGTCAAGATATATGACTCGGCTAACACATGGCTCTAGCATCTCGGCCATGTAATTTCTTGCGTAGTTTAATGGTTGCTCTAGAGCCGAGCGCACTGAACTCGAGATCAGCTTCTTGACTCGATTAGGATCAAAGAAATAGACCTTGAATTTTAAGAGAGGGAAAGTGGATCTCACTAGGGTTTCTAACTCAGGCGCCAAATCTGATACCAAGAAATGGAAGAACACATCTTCAGGACAAGAAGCATGGCGTAAAACCGAGTGGATCGCGGCCATTGATCCCCTAAGATACTCAAAATCCAGAGTGATGGCAACGTGAACCAGAGAGGGGTCGCATACCAGCGTAGCCGAAAATCGGCCGGAACTACATTTTCTAGGGGCGGCGTTCTTGAATTCCGGCGCCCTCTTGAAGGTGAAACCCAACGGAAAACCACCTAGGTGAAAACTGCTATCCAGAAGAGCTGTTTCAAGAAACCGCCTTTGTGGATCGAAATGAGATGAGCGTATAGCTTCAGCAGGAGGAAAAGGAAAAGACTGGAGAGAAGGAGCGAGGATCACCATTATCATGGCCGCCGAAGCAAAGCCAGAAAACCGAGCGAGCCAGAGCATTTCTGGCCGCCGTTTTCTTTTACTAATCGCCGGGAAACAAGAGGTAAGGAGGAGGGGGAGCAAGATTCCGGCCCTCTTTGAGCTATCCAGCCTTTTTCGAGCCAAATTTTCTCCCTTCAAAGCGAAAAAAATAGACGGTGTACGTTCTCTATAGAGGAAGGGATGAGTGAGAAAGTCGCCGGCAAAATGTGAGTTATAGAGAGTATTCCGGCGAATCTGCCATGGAAGAGAGCAGGGAGAACTGGTGCACGGAAGTGCACTTCAGTCCTATGCTTCTCTCTCCTCTTTTACATCAATGAGAAGAAGGCGAGAGCGATATACAGGAAATTTGCGCCATAAAATTTGGAAAAATAAAAATAAAAGGGAGATAAACAATGGGAAAAGCGGGTGGCAAAATTATGGTGGGAATGACGGAAATAGCCTCGAGTTTTCCTGCGCGTCTCTGAAATACCTAGAGGTTGCCTGAAATATCCCATTGTAATCTTCATCCTCGCCCAAAATTTCCTCTCAATTTTTAACCGCACTTTCAAACGAAAGTTTGGACTTGGAGGCCCGAAATTTCGTTCGATTTTGCATTTATTTCGTAATTGTTCGTATGTAGTGAACACTGTAGTAGAATTTATGGCCAAGTTCCATAAATGGAAGACTGACCGAATTTAGGCGTGGACTACGAAACGAAACATAAATAACACTTAACACAAAAACTACATTAGTATATAACAAAAACTGTAAGTAAGCTATAAGATTACTGTTTGAAGAAAAAAAAAAACACAAAAGAGACCCAGATCACAATTAACTAAAATAAAATACGGACCCAAATAAGTAGAATAGTAGTCCATCCAATATATTATGTTGTATACACCAATCAAGTACAAAATAAAATTAATCAAAATTTCTTTATATATAAAAAATGCAACAAAATGTTTAAGCAAATTCGAATCACACATTGAATTTTTAGCAGCATAAATTTTTAGTATACAAAATCTTTAAGCAATTTTGAATGTCACACAAAATTCTCTCTATAAGGATGCACTAGGTCAATGAAGCAAAAAAAAAATATTTTTCATTGGGTTAGTCTTCTAAGGTATTATATGGATATATAGGATTGTTTTTGTATCTTATTTTTTGGGGAATATATTGTTTGTAAAAAATTTTAAATTTTTAAAGAAAATTATTAGTAAAATGTTTTAAAAATTTTTACTTTAAATCAAGATTTTTAATTTACCACTACCATGAATTTGCTTATTTTTTAATAGAAATTTAATAATATTAAGTTAATGAAAAAAGATAAAATACAGGTTTACATCGGCTCCATGAAAAAATGCGAATTTTTTTAAAGATTTTTGAAAAACTTGATTTCTCAACATATTTCAAAAAACAGTGTTTTTTTTTTTTTTGCTTATTTTATTCTTCGTTTTTATTTGGTCTGACCTCGATAGGGCTAGAGGCCCTAGACCTAGATCTGTTTTGCCCTGATTGCGCGCCAGGCTTTGGCCCGCCCTCTATGGAGCCGGCCGAGAACCCTGCGGTTGCCAGCCATATCGACGTGAACATTCAAATCTCGATTGAAGAGTAAATGGAAAGCGAGCAATTAGGATTCCGTCGGATATGGCCTTTTCGGGCCGAGATTTCGGCCGTAATGTCAATTTCTCCAGAGCGCACAACGGCAGTGTACAAGTGTTGCAGGGCACCTGCGCATGGTTCGAGGTGGAGCAGGTGGCGCAGCATCGTCCTACCTACCCGGACTCGTCAGTCATGGACCCCTCTGCGCGTTAAAACGACGGTTACGATCAGAGGGATCGGAATTCATGCTAGAAATCCAGGCCGTCCATCACGGGATAGAAATGGAAATTCATGCACATGTGTCAAAAAATAATTTTACCCGAAAAAACGTTTCAAAAAAAGCCAAAAGGACAGGGTGAGGATTCAGATATTTGTGAAATTTGATGGGGGAAGCAATGTGCGTGTCGGTGAGGAATCGGGGTAGTTTAGTCATTTTAAACGCATCGTAATCCGCTGTAGGGCGGCACAAAATGCCAGAGCCAATCCGGTTATAGAGAGAGAGAGATCCCAAAAGAGTTTTGGAATGGGAAACAAGGTAACAATTTGTTTTTAGAGAGAGAGAGAGGGGGCAGCTCATTCAAGGTGCTCGTTCTCCACCGTACGATCTTACAATGGACGTCATCAGAATCGGAAACATGAGGATGAAATGTAGAACCGAAACGTGTAGGGATTCTCCGTACGGATCCCGTGACACAAAAGTCGTGAAATTTGGGGAAGCGTAGGCGTCGACTGCGCACAAGCAAATGGGTACGAAGACAGCTTGCCCTGCAATTCAAGTGTGCGAGAGAGAGAGAGAGAGAGAGGGACCCTTTGGTTAGTGGGGAGCCAATCTGTCACGGGGTTATTTAAAGAAGGAGGCGCATGGGAACCCTCGATATCCGTGACCAACTGTCCTACGCTTTCCTACTTTTCCTAGCTTTCTTTCTTTTTAATGATCATCATACATGTGCAGTACGTCCTTTAAAAGTCATTATACTCCTGCGGGAGAAACGGTGGATTTGCTCCCCCGGGTGAAATCCAGCTAAATTTTCAGGATGTATATCGTGCTCCCTCGTGACCATAGGTTCGCAAAATCGAACCGCAAGGTTTAATCCGTCGATTCAACCGTTCTAACCGTGCACGCTCAACCGTTCTAACCATGCACTCTCAAGGCTATAAAACAAGTGTTAAAAAATATATATATGTACAAAAAAAATCTTTTAAAATGTGAAAAATTTATAAAAAATGATTAAAACCAAACACGGTTGAAAATTAATAAAAAAAATAGATTTTAAACTATTTTATATTTTAATAATTATTTTAATTTTTTTAAAAAAATATGGGACAATATAAAAGTGAGTATTAATGACCAAAACAATTTTTAATCTCTACCATAATAATGTAAAGAATATTTAAAAATATATTAGAAATCAAATTCTTTATTTTGTAGAATTTATATATTTTTTTTAATTGTTTTTTTTTAATACCGGTTAACCACCTTAACCGTCTAAAACCGGAACTAGCCGATTCCAATCTAATTGGACGGTTAGCGGTTGGATCGGGCGATTTTGCAAACAATAATTTCTACTCTCTTGGTGAACCATTTAAGAACTACAAGATAATTATTCTCATTAAAAAAGTATGAAACTTTAGTTTTATAACATTAAGCTCTCACCTATAAAATTGGATGGTCTCTATTCAATTTCAAAGATATTATATTTTTTAGTGTTTAGAGAGTACAATAAAGAAATTTTTTTATTAAGATTAATCTATGGGTTGAAGGTGTTCCATTAGTAAAAATTTGAGGTCCTAAACTAATTTCTAGGTGGGCTTTATCCGATGGAGTAAATGGATATTTTATTCCCACGAAATTAGAATATCTTTGTATTTTATTTTATTTTTTTAAGAATATCTTTGTCATTAATTTTAGGATCCTCTTCAACCATACATTAGCTTCAATAAAAAATTTCCTAATGGCACCCTCTCATCAGATTAATTTCAAGTGTGAGAATCGGTCGATAAAAATAAAAAAATTGAACAAAAAACATAATTGTTAAAAAATAATAATATCTACAAACCAATGAGTCCATAAGAATTGGCCATGTTCCCAATTCCAACATGGAATATGTCTCGATCGATTCCCAGTCTGGATTCCCAATCTAGATTACCGTAGACAATTTTTATATTATTGGTTAGAATGATGGTGTCGTGTGGCTCACTCTATTCCAGTGAAGTCTCCCTCCAAATTCCTAGATTTGGCTCTAAAATCTACTATTATCAAGGATTTCGAAAAAGAAACTTGTAGTAGGAGTATCTTAAATTTAAACTTTTACTTTAAATTATCTTAAAATTTATCTTACAAAAAGTCCATTGTACATCAAAATCATTTTTGTCTCCTAAATTTCAAAATAAGTGATCGTAAAAGTTCAAACAAAACAAAATTATCAGATTTTGTGACTCTCCCCAAGCTATCCAATTTGACATTTAATGAGTGGGAATGGTTGTGACATCTATACAGATAATCCCTTATAGTAAAACTATAAATATTTAAATTTTGTTTTTTCATTGTTTTTAAATTTTTATCACACATTTTTGAAAATTATTTATTTTTAAATTTATTTCCTTTAATTCATGATCGTGGTGATCAAGCTTATAACCTATAAATTTTTGCTTATAAAATTCAATTTAAGATCTACTTTTGGGAACTCACAAGTATATTTTTTCTCTCAATTCTCAACTAAAATTAGAGGAATTTTGACGAAGTTGAGCTAGAGTTTGAAAGAAACTTTGCAAGATTTTTGAGGTGAGAGATATTTGAACTTGGTAGAAGTTGGGCACCTCTAAAATTTGGACGGATCTAGACTGTTGTAAGTTTCTAAAAGTAATAGAAGTGCAATTGGTATGTTAACCCAGCCCCAAACAATTGTTCTAAGTCATATGTCCTATAAAAAAATTTATCATTTGGCTTGAGCCACTTAAGTCGAGCCCAGTGATAAAATTACCCAGCTTCTTCTAGGTTCTAAATCTTGAACAAGAACAAGTATGGTGTTAATATCATATAACTTGAGCACATACAATTATAAGAATTTCCCTACTTGTTGAAGGTTGCAGAGGAACACTTTTGGTATCTCTTAAAAAGCAATTGATGAGAAACCTAAGTGAAATGACATTTTTAAAATAACAATTCATGACAAGAATGACTACAACCATCTGCCCCTATGGCCTCCATATCCTGGACCTTCCCTATACCCCATAAGTGCCAAATTACCCTTGACAGTAGCTGACATTTTGTGAACTTTAGTTTTGTAAGGACACAGTCTTTTTTTTTTTTTTGGCTATTTATCAAATAATAGATAGTGGAACTTCCCATAGTGTACCATATAGATCGCATATGTAGTCTATGTTATCGATCTGAAGAAGGTGATGACCTTAATTTTTGTTTTAACCCGTCCTAACACGGATAAAGGAGCTGGGTTATCGTAAAATTTTGTCAAAACTTATCATGAATCCTGAATCAACAGATGATGATGAAGTAGTCTAAATGTTAAAAAAAAGAAAAAAACGAAGATGTAGTCTATGCTATAGTCTCTTGGATGCTTTGTGAATGTGACAAACAATCATACTTTATGAATACTAAATTCTATTCTAGGTATACGTTAAAGAAACATGCTATAGTGTAAGGCTGTGTTCATTACTTATGCTCAAATGTTTCTGGCCCAAAGCATTAAGCGAAAAGGAAAATGCCCAACATAAAATCATGGAAATTCCTAGAGATACATCGTTGCCTTTGTCGTGACCATCTTTCCTAAACCCTATGAGGTAGGGTTTGGTTTGTCAAGCTGCGTGTATTTTAGGGAACCCACATTCTAAAATCTCTTTTAACGATGAATTTTATATTGAAATTTTGCCGGTCTATAATCCCGGTTACCATGATCATAAATGTGAAAGAATAAATAT